CATTTCTCATTCCCCTTAGGGAGGAAGGACAGGAGGCTGGCTCTCACCGTGTTCCCCAGGTTTCGCAGGCCAACGTGACCAGAGCCCAGGAGCAGTGTGTGATGAGCCTGGAAGGTCAGAGTGGAGTCAGCGGTTTCCCATCTATCCCGCCCAGCCCTCCGACCTTTCAACAGCGTGCCGCCCACCGCTTCCCCACCCCTGCACTGCGCCCCCAAGCTCCACCCTCTTCCCCCCACCGGGTACTGGGGGCTCCCCTACCTCACTGGCCATGAGCATGTAAGCCCATCGCAGCTGAGCGCAGCACCGACTCGGCCGGGGCTGTCCCACCTGCTCCCCACTCACTCGCCTGCCCAGCTGGCCGGCGCTGCAGCTCCTGGGGCAGCTCCCGAAGCACGGGCATGGCTGCCCAGCCGCTCCCCATGCCCACCTTAGGCTTCCCCCGCTCCCGCCCCCCCGGGGCCCCTTCCTGAGCCCTCTCCTGATGGGTACAACTGCAGTCAACCTGGCTCGCTTAGCTTGGGAAATGGACAACCACCCTAACTCAGATGCTCTGAGCCCGCCCCTCTTCGGCTCCAGAGATTAATTAGGCCCAGGCAGCACCCTAGGAGAGAGGCGGAAGCAAAGGAGAGTAAGGGCCCGGGGACCGGGGATGTGGAGGAGAATTGCAAATGGTTGGGCTAATTCTCTGGGGACTGGAATGGCACACCGTGCCGGGGACTCACAGACGACCCCGAAAAAAAGGCCTGCGCGGCTCGAGGGTACTTAAGGAAAGGAGAGGAGAGTCCCAGCTGCTGCAATGAGGGACTGGGAAAGGAACTCGGGGGAAAGAGGGAAAGGAAAGCCACCCGATGGCAAGAAAGCCGGAGGCACAGAGGACCACGGGCCACGGGCACGGAAGGGCCACGGGTGCCGGACAAGTCCTCACCATTTTGTCATCGGAGTAGAAAGACTCAGAGGGCCGGGCCGATATGACGTGAAAGGAGCCATGGGAAGTAGGGGGCTCCGTCCGTATACTGAGCAAGGTTGGGGGGCCGGGAAAGCCCCCGAGGCGGCGGAGAGAAGCGCTGCGTCTCAAAGCCGGTGGCTCAGGCCGGAGCGCCAGGCGGCTCAGCGCAGCCCCGAGCTCCCCAGCGCCACGGTGCCCTCCCAGGGCAATCCCCATGGGCCGCAAGTCCCCACTGCTCACAGACTTGGAACGGGCTAGGTTGGTCCTGGAAGGGAGAGGCAGAGCCACGGTGGTCGGGGGTGGTGAGCCAGGCAGGGGAACTCCATGATCTGCCCGAAGGGGTCCTCTGGGACGAGGGCCTGAGGTCCGACCCCGTCCCAGCTCCAGTTTCTTGAGCCGTTCCTCAGGGGGCCCCGGCCGGGGAGGCAGAGGTCTTAACATGGGGTTCGGCCCAGGGGCTGGGTTTCGGCGCTCCTGGCTTCGGGCCCGTGGGGCAAACGGTAGCTTGGATCCCACTCGGGGCTGGACATTAACAGGTGGCTCTCGGGTCCGGCCCAGGCGGTGCTCAGAGGCCTGGGGCATTGTGGACACCACAGGCTGGACCTGGGAGGAGAAGAGAGGGTCAGTATTTGCATGTGGACGGAGGTGGGAACCTAGGTTACCACACGAGCTTCTACATACTCCACAGGCAGGAACCCCGTCTGTCATGTCAGTCACTGTATCCCCAGCACCTCGCATCGTATTGGGCACAAAGTAAATACTCTGTATCCGATGAGTAAGTGAATGAATGACAGCAGCCCCCCGCGTTGGCTCTTTCTGTATTCCCCGTCCCCTTCCTGCAGAACACAGCTTGACTGAAAAGCCAAGGATAGTCTCGATCTCGGCGGTCTTTATGATCTAAACGCTCATGACGAGGGCCCCCATACCCGGCTAGTCAACGGGAGGTGCCCTGGGTCACTTAGAACCTCTGGACAAACGAGGGTGTGGATGTAAGGAAAACAGCCCCAAAGACAGCGTCCCACCCTCAAACCCCTGCCTGCCCTCCGGGCTGCACTGAAGCGGACTGAATGGGTGCCTGGCGAATCACTCCCTCCCCCACCTCTGAGCTGCAACGAGGTGTTGGGGCTCAGGGGCAGTGGCGGGGAGGGAGGTCGAACAAGACCCTCATCTCCGCACCTCTCCCACCACCGCAGGGCTTCAGCCGGGTCCGCCCCCCTCGAGGGCAGAAAGGCCGAGGCCGCTGATTGGCTACGGGGTCCGGCGGCGTAGTCCCTGCGGTCCACGGATGCTGTCCCTCCAGCCCGGATCCCCCAGGCCTGCTGGGCCCCCCGCGCCCTGCCTTTGTGGAGGGCGTCCTTTCGGGTCTGGAGCGGTCTTCCCGCGGCCCCCCACCCCCACGCCATAGCGCCC